TCTCTCTCTCTCTCTCTCTCTCTCACACACACACACACACTTGACCCTGAGTATACGGTTCCTGTGCTGGTTCGGGACCCTGGTCACACAAAAGCCATCACAGATTCAAACGCTTGAAATCTAGTGCTGTGAGCTAAATAAATATCTTCTCTTTACAAAATTATCCAGCATCAGGTATTTGACTAAGGTTTAAAAAAACACCAGAATATACCCAAACCCCAGACATTCTAGCCTTGTAGATGACAAAGTTCTAACCCTGTTGATATCCACTAGCAAATTGTTTTTATTTTTTGTTCTTTTGTTTAGCCCCCAGCTGTTGTTTCTAACTCTTCAAACTATACCCACCTCTTACATATAAAGACTGTTTGGTTTAATTTTTTTGATTCATGGGTGTGGATTTTGGAGTTAGTCACCTGCTAGATGTGGCCTCAGATCAGCTTGGCATGGCCTTGACTCCTTAGAGACCAAATACTATTCCTTTGCAAGGCAGGCATTATCTTTGGAAGTCACCAGATTTTCTTGGGTCATTGACAACCTGGAGCATAGGACCAAGACTTGATGCCAGCTGATGCGGGAAAAACACCCTCTGAAGTCCTTTCTTTAGTACAAATGTGCCTACTCACTCCCATCCCACACACCAGAAAGGGACTTTGTTGAAAGAAGTCATATATATAGAGAAGGGGCATTCCTGCTCAGTGGACCCAGCACAGCCCTAGTCCTTGAAGCAGTGAGGGCTGAACTTGGAAGGCTGCCAGGAGTCCTCATCTCCTGTCAACAGAGTCATTGCCCTTTAATCTAGAGTTCCCAGTGTGCAGAAACATGGAACTACTGGTACCTAAGGAAGCATCAGTTTGCAGCCTCATGCCCAGTCCCCCACCCTCTGTCTAGCTCCTGGGTTCTGAAATTGTTCTGGGATGTATAGTCTGTAAGCCGTATGGTATATACAGGGACCCATGTCTCTGTATTATAAGCCTGTGTTTCCTACATAGGATACATCACTTTCTGTGTGGTAAACCTGTTAACACTCAGAACTGCATAGATGTCCTTCTCATGTCTATGACAAGATAATTATCAGATAGCAGGAAATGTGATCATCTAGACTCCCCCTGAGAGTATTAAGTGAACCAGACTGTATGTGACTGCGCCTCCTGGACCTCGTGGTTCGGGCTGCTAACCTCTTCCTGCGGTCAGCCAGCCCTTGACTTGTGATGTTTCTCCAGTAGAAGTCTCAGCGAGCTCTTATCTCTGTAACCCGGGCCCTTGGAGTTCTCACAGCCCCAGGAGGGTGTGTGGTTATGTCATCTCCTTAGATGGAGACTTTCTTGGACTATTAAATTGTCAAATTTAATAAGAATGCGATGTCAAGCTTTACCCATCATATTGGCAAGAACGAACTTGATTGACAATGCCTAGAAAGGCTGTAGCGAGTTAGATATCCCCAGGCAGATCTGTGTGTGTGTGCATGAGCACACAGGGTTAGGTTTTTGCAATGCAGTTTGAAATATTGTATCAAGACTTTGACCTCCACAATTTTCCTTCTACGAATGTATGAGGGAGTTAATTGGAGACACATTTTCCAAAATCTACATGTGGTATAATAATGGAAAAAAAAGACAGGAGTTTGCTCAATAGTGTGTACTACAGCATGCAGAGGGCTACAACCCAGCTGGTGGGGAGCTTGCCATCAAGAAGCACGCAGGCCTAAGAAGAGATGTCTGCACTAGCCCTGAGCAAAAGGGAAAATACATGGTAGCTTGTCTAGGATAATTTCACTAATAAGACCCCTCCACCTGTGGGGTGTGTGTGTGTGTGTGTGTGTGTGTGTGTGTGTGTGTGTGTGTGTGTGTGTGTGTGTCTGTATGCCCATAGAGTGTATGCCCATACCTGGGGCTTCAGGGAGGTTTTAGTCTAGCATGATGGCAGACATCTATTATATTAGTTACTTTTCTGTTGCTGTGAGAGCAATCTTGATAGACAACAAGTTTATTTTGGCTTTAATAGTTCCAGGTAGGAGATCATCTGTTTTAGCTGGGAAGGCGTGGCAGCAGAAGCTTGACAATTGGGAGCAGAATATTCACATTTCTTAACTGCTGAGCCATCTCTCCAGATATGCATGCATGAAGGAGAGAGGGGGGAGGAACAGAGAATGGGGGTGAGGTTATAAAACCTCAAAGCCTTACCCCAGTCATGTATTTTCTTCCAATATGGTTCCACCACATTTCCATAACCTTTCCCGGCAGCACCTACCTCCAGCTGGAGACCAAGTGTTCAAACACATGAGCCCGGAGTGGGAAGCCCACATTCAAATGGTGATGTCAACAGAAAGACAATCGTGACATCGTGTGGTGTGCTGGCCAGTGGAGAGGAGTACAGAGAAGGGCTTCTAGCCATCTTCTCAGAGTGGCCCCTAACCCTGACCCTGAAGAGGGACCAAGGAGGATGCTGAGGCTCAAGGGGACACTCCCGGTGACTATTGAGTTTATGGACCTCTCATCCCAGCCATGAACTGGAACCTTCTTCTCTACCCCTAAGATCACGAGTCACATAAATGAGCCGTTGGGCAGAAGGCACGCTTGGCCAAGAGCACTGAGCTTTGGCCCTGGAGTGTTGTATGAGGCAGCTAGAAGCTCTATCTCTGAGGAACATTCCAAGTTCTCCTTCCTTTGTCTGGCCTCCTGTGCCCTACAGCCAAATGACACTTGGTCACACAATCCATCCCATAGTTAAACTTGCACTTTATGAAAATGGCTCTGAATAACTCTAGGGAGAAAGCTGTATCCATCTCCATTCATCTTCAATGGCTTTTACACCTCACTCGACATAACTGTCTCCTTTGATTAAATCTCCATTAGGGCTCTGTTCCATATTCAGCAGCTCTATAAGCCAATTAACCCACCGTTCCATAGGTTAGGACAAAGAGCGGTGCATCTTCAGAGAAAGAGAGAGCAAGAGGGTGAGAGAGAGGGTGGGAGGAAGAGAGAGAGGAGAGCGTCGTCTCCCCCCCCTGCTGTGGCTCTGGTTAATCAGTGTTTGTCACTGTGCCCTCATTTCCTCACACTTAAGGACAGCAGCAAGATACAGTGTGAGGCATAAAGCATCTGAGCTTGGACTATGCAGCAGTGTCACACTCCCACTCCATGGGTGACTTGCAGCTTCTTGAGCCTAATGGTGTTTGGGGAGGGATCCCGATCCTTGGAACTCTTCCTCTCTCTGCTCATTCAAGAGTTCCCAAGGTTGTCTGCCTCCCTGTCAGTCTGTCTGGACCCTGCCTGAGTCTGTATGTCAGAAGCCCATCTCGAAGAATCTAAGTCTCATCTAGTCGCAAGGCTCCAGGCCCAACTGATTTGGAGGCAGGGGTTGATTGTCTGCGAGTCACCATGGTACCACCTGACTATGAACTACGCCACCAGCGTGGTTTGCATGTGTCCTCCAGTGCCATGCATTGAAAACTCAGTCCTAAGGCGATGCTTCTGAGACAGGAGAACTTGAAGAAGTGACTATGCCATAGGGGCAGCGTACTCATGGATGGGCTAATGCCACTATCTTGGGTTAGTTACCACAAGAGTGGGGTTCTGATGAAAGAAGTCCTCCCTCATTTACCCTTCATACCAATTCTGTCTTTCCCATCTACTTTCTAACATGGCATGATCCAGCCAAGAGTCACTTGTCACATCAGGCCTCTTGATGTCAGATGTAAGAGCTTCTAGAAAGTAAGAGATGAGTCCCTCTTCTTTATAAATGACCTCATCTCAGACACTCTGTTTCAGCATCATCACCACCCTGGAGCAGAGTAGGACTCAGTACCCGTCTAACCTTCTCCAAGGCCCAGAGCCCCTTCCCGACTTCACTCACATTGGGCATAAGGGACACTACTATATTCCTAGTTCTGCTGTTTTTTTTATTGGCAGATGGCCCCAGCTCTCCACTCTTAGCAGTCGGATGGAGTTCTACTCTCAGAGACATGTCAGGTGCCCACATTTTGTTATTGAAACTGAAGAACCAGCTGGGTCTCAGTGTCCCAGGGAGACAGGGACACCGTTTACTTGGAATCCTAAACATCTTAATAACTTGAATCCAGGGCTGGGATGCATGACATGATCTTGCATAAGTATTCAAGGCATTTCTTATATGGAGACCAAAAGTTCCTAAGTATAATGGAGCAATTTCAGTGGCAAAGAGGTAGGATCCATGGTCATATCACACTTAGAATGAAAGAACAAGCTGGTCCCGATGGGAGTTCCCCTAGCCACTCAGATTGGATTTGGCGGGCCTGCTAAGGAAAATGGGAGCAGTAGATGGTTGGTAAGTTTGCCATGCGTCTTTTCCCTCAACAAATGGACTTTGGAAGGTGGTCTCAGCTATTTCCTTTCTTTTTCCTTCCTTCCTTCCTTTTTTTTGGGGGTTTCTCTGTGTAGCCCTGGCTGTCCTGGAACTCACTCTGTAGACCAGACTGGTCTCAAACTCACAGAGATCCACCTGCCTCTGCCTCCCGAGTGCTGGGATTAAAGGTGTGTGCTAGCAGTGCCAGGTTAGCTTTTTTCACATAATAGCAATATTTTAATGGAGTTAAAGGGCCCAAAGGGCCAGTGGCAGCATATGCATGTTTCCTTGAGTCTGTTTGAAGAAGCCACTCAGAGTGGGGCTGGCATGGGCACCTGTGAGCCTCCTATTAGTCCTCTGAGCCTTGTTAAATGATCAAGTGTCAGTAGTCCAGCAGGGTGTGTCTGTTCTTTGAAGACTACCCATCTCTGCCCAGGCCTCCCTTGCTTCACCCAGGTACCACTAAGGCATGATCTGCTCTCTGTTTGCAGGTCACCTCTACTCAGCCTGGGCTCTACTCCTAATCAGAGTCCTTTAGACGCTGAGATGGCTACAGGTGGAGACTAATGCAGGACTCTTTCTTTGGGGCTTGGGAATGTTTGTGCCTTTCCTGAACTAGCATCGAGGAAGTGCTGCCACACCTCAGGGTTTGCACCTTTCACCATTCTCTGATCTCATAGATCTAGATTCACATCCTGGACCTCTGTGGCTTGCGTTGATGTTCTTCTGGGATCCATTCTGTCTGCTGCAGCTTCTCATGAACCAGTAAGTTTGGGCATCATCAGCACAAGCAGGACTCCGGAATGAAGAAAGTGGCACTGTCCACAGGGAATGTTTGAGTCTTATAGGTGGGGTGTGTGTGTTTCTCCACCTGAAGTCCCCTAAGAAGAGTGCAGCACAGACGAACTGGACCACACATGCCAGAGATAACATCGGCAGTGGTGGTGGTGGGGGCAGGACAGGATTGTGCATGGCTAAGAACCCAAGTTTGCTGTCTTGTGTTCCTCACTTCCTATCTCAGTCTGCTGCATACTGACTGTATGGATTGGGGCCTTAGTATTCTCGGCCATTACATGAAAATCAGCTCCATTGGGCCATATGAGACACACGTATTATCTCATACCTGGTTAGTGTTTGGTAATTGATAGGTGTACAGTGAGGTCCGAATGTTGGGAGTGATCATTGTTATTGTCAATATTGTCAGTCTTTTTCAAGAATAATCCACCCCCTCCCCAGCCCCCTATGAGTAAAACCTGGGCTCACAGGAATAGCTGATAGACAGGAATATTCATCATATGATGTCATCTCCAATGACAGGGAGAGGCTTTTAAACACCCCTGGTCCATGAGACCCCCTGACCCAAGACAGACAAGGCCCCCTCATGGATATCTCCACCCATGGCCTTTTATTTCATACCTGTAAGGGCCCTAATATAAGGGACACATCGTAAAAAGTCATCTTAATACTCCCACTAAGATCCTAGTAACTAACACCCACTGTCTATTCCCTGGTTGACTCTCAGATCTACAGTTCAGACCCCTCTCCTTCATTAATAAAAAGCAAGGGAGGAGATATTAGGGACCCGATCATGGTAAATCTCTATTTCTTGCCCCAAAGGCAGTTCCCAAAACTCAGGTGCCATAGAGATAACCCGTAGATTGACAGTGCTTCACTAACACCTGCACTCCCTGGTGAGATCTCCTGCTCTTTCTCATATCAAACACCCTCTGTTCATAACAGCTCCCCACTTCGCAGCCCCCATCTAACCACCTCTGCCCCATGGCCAATGCCACATTCCCTATTTAAGCCTGTACAGAATTCTCATTAAACGCAGCTCGATCAGCCATGTTGTCCTGCTATCCATCTCTCGTGTCTCTTGTCTCATTCATTCCAGGTTCGCGTGGGCTTGGCCCCGCTGTGCCCCGCTGTTCAGGGCACCAGCAGAAAGACTCAAAGCTATTCTTTTCACCAGGGCATTTGGGAGGCCTGAATGATTAAGGAAAAGTCCAAGGGGAGCCTGATGGGAGGTTTCAGGCACTAGGGCTGTACTGACAGAAGGGACCCAAATCTGTGAGGCACCTGATCTTGACATTTTGCAAGGATGACTACCAGATGACCTCTCCTCTAGCCACACAAGATTGCTTTCTGTAATTAGCAGATTAAAGAATAGATTAATAATGACCACAGAGGAAAAGCAGACAGAGAAAAATTTCTTTATTAAACTTACTTCCAGCTGGGGACATGGCTCAGTTAGTAGAGGACTTGCTTAGCATGCACAATACCCCAGGTTTGACCCCCTAGTACTGCATAAACCAGGTATAGTGTCACATGCCTATAATCTTAGTACTTGGGAGGTTGAGGTCAGAAGATCAGGACTTCAAGGGCATCCTCAGCTACGTAGGGTGTTTGAAGCCAGGCTGGACTAGATATCCTGTCCCAAAATTTAATAATAATTATACCAGTAAAAATAAAGGCAAATTACAGAATTAAATAAAAACATTAGTGAGTTAACATTTTTATTCTGTGTTAGTATAGCTTTTGCAAAAAGGGAAAACTTGCCTACCATATGTTAATAGTACAGCTTTATTTTCCTCAATAATACCTCAATTAAACAAATTAGAAGTTTGAAAAGAAGATTATTTCAGGTTTCCTTTGAGATTTTATTTATTTTTATTTCATGTGTATGAATGGTTGTCTGAATATATGTATGTCTGTATACTATGCACATGCAGTACCCATGGGAGCCAGATTAGGGCATCAGATCCCTTAGGACTGGGTTTCTGATGGCTGTGAACTGTCAGGTGGGTGCTGGGAATCGAACCCAGGTCCTCTGGATGAGTAGCCATGCTCTAAATCAGTAAGCCATCTCTCCCACCTGCCTATTTCAGTTTTAAAGCTGGACTCTATAAACAGTGCAGAGGAACTACCAGTTGCACTTGCCAAAGAGACACGATGGAACTTTACAGTATGCTTTTTCAAAATTAAAGAAGAGACAACAAACGAACAAAACTTCAAGTGTTCACACAATCAGAGCAACTCATTTTCTGAGCATTTTTTGTCTTCACCAGTGCTCACTTTGCATATTTACTGTTGCAGTTGGGGGTCTGTAGGGCTGTAGGAAATAGATGCATGAACTGTGCTCACAGAAGCTGAAACAGGTCCAAACCTTAGGAATTTTCTCTGGAAATGAGCACATACAGCTGAGTTTGCAAGTATTGGGGGCCAGTTGTGAAACTTCTCTAAATTAGGGCCCAGGTGGAACACAGTGTCACTAGGAATAAGTAATAAAAATGAGCTCGAGGAAAGAACATTCCACATTCGTTATTATTAAAATCCAACGGTAATTCTTAACCACTATTTAGAATTCAGCCAACAAAAGCTTTTGCTTAAGAGGAATATTTTACCGCTGATGCTATGGAGAACTGCTGGTGGATGGTGACCACAAGAGGAAGAGCAGAAGCTGGAGATGTGACTTGGCCATTAAGAGCACACACTGCTCTTACAGAGGACCGGGGCTTGATTCCTAGCAGCCATATCAGGCATCTCATAGTCACCTGCAACTCTAGCTCTAGAGGCTCTGGTGCCCCCTTCTGGTCTCCACAGGCACCTGCATTCATATGCAGATATTCCCATAACATATATGTATTATGCAGACCAGCAAAATCTATTGATTTTTTTGTTTTTGTATTCTATAATGACAGTGTTTTCTCTTATTGTCTCAACCTGGGACAGGCTGTTTCTCTGACCCCAAGATCTGCTCTGATTAGAGTGGTGGCCCCATCAAGGAGCAGAGAGGTCTTGCTGGGTTCCTTGCAAAGAAGAACATTCTACCTGTCAGAGCTCTACAAGATGGATTGGCCAGCCTCAGGAGGCAGTAAATCTCCTGCCAGGAGCAAAGGTGACCTTTAACGTCCTTCCAACCTGGAGACTCTGTGACTCTATGAATCAGAAGTGACTGAACCTCCTTCCATCCCTGGGAGAGAGCTGGGGACTTGGCAGTCTTGGAGGCCGGTGGGAGGAGCAGCCCCATCCCACAGAGTCACAAAACCCAACGTGAATCCTATCTAAGCCCCAATCCCTTGCTTCTGCCAGTAATTGGCTACACTGCCCATTGTTAGAGACCATAAAATTCCCTGTTCATCGGAGTGAGGAGGGATAGGCCAAGGTCTTCTGTGGGGTTATCTTTTGAGAGGACACCTTAAGTAGACCTTCCTGGATGTTTCTCCCTGATTCAAATTCCTCCCTGCACATGTTCCTTCTGACTTCAGAGAGGGCTGTGTGTGCCCCACTGTCTGAACTTCAGGGGGATAAAGCAGGTTTGGAGAAAGACTGGTGTCCCCAAATTCCCATAGTTCTTTAATTCCCGGTGGGAGGCCCCATTATCTCTCTAGTACAAGGCACATTATTAATGGATTATGCTTTCAGCAGGTAAAGGTCATTTTTAAAATGTGTTTAATGATTCTAACCTGGGTTTTCTTTGCAGAGACAGTGTCCTCCAGGCTCTCGCTGTGAACATTTGCAGACAGAGAATGGACTGCTATCCAGGATAGTACCCAATACAGGGACCCATCCAGGTGTGAGCTCAGCAAGGGTTTGCTGATACTGGGGCACAGGTAGTGCTGGGCACTGGAACTTGAGAGATTAGGAAGCAGCAAGGATGAACAAGGCCCTCACAGCCTGCAAAGTGAACCCCGGTCCCTGGTGATCCGTGGACTGAGGAATTGTACAACAGTCCAAGGGCTCTGTAGCTTTACCGAGTTTGAACTATTCATTTACGCAAATGAAAATGGATTCAGGAAAGACACTGGGGTTTCTTTAGCAAGTCCTAAAAAATATCTTGATCACCAGACTCACCGGGCAGAATGGCTCTGGAATTTCCAAGAACTCAGGAAAGGGTAGGATTGATCTATTCAGGTATGCCTGGAACAGCCTGCAGGGAAGCAGCCATGGTGGTGGGTCCTGCGGTCCCGCAAGGGGGAAAGGAGTGTCAACTCATTTCCTCACAGGATGAGAAATTCTGCTGGGATCTTCACAGTAGCACTAAACCTTGAGGGACTGGTCCAGGCAAAAGAGATATTATCAGATCCGTATGTGTTAGTGGCTACTGTGTGGCTGTAAACAACACACCTTCTGGAAACTAGCTGTGGAGGAATGGATTATTTTGGCTCAGGTTCTGGAGAGGTTTCATGGCGGGAAACTCTGGTGGCTCTGTTAGTGGCATGGGAGTACAGGGCTTCGGCTGTTCACATGGTGGTGTATTAGAAAGCAGAGAGAACCAGCCCGTCCCAAGGGCGGAGGTAACCTTCAAGTTCTTCCTCCAGTGACCTGCTTTTGCCACCCAGGTCTTGCAGCCTAAAGCCTTCAAAATGGCACGCTTTGGAGAGTGAGGGCTCCGAGCTTGGGTCTGTCAGGGGACATTTCAGATGTGAGCTGTAACATTCAAGACTTAAAAGGCTGGCCAATGGGAGGGTTCTGCACAGCCCTAGTAAGGAGAGTGGTCACAGCAGAGTGCTTCAGGGTGCACTCTGAACTCAAACTCCCTAGGTTCAAACCCCGCCCCCACCACTTACTAGCCTTCAAAACTTGGTTTAGTCCCTCAGTCCCCTTTCCTGTCATTCTCAACTGTGCAAAGGGAAGAAAGCGGCATTCTCTCTACTGGATGCTTGCCGAGCAGGTGGATTGCTACCCGTGAAGGGTATGGGCCAGAACTGGCACACAGGATGGTCGTTAAAAACTTGTTTACATAAATGGAGCACTGAGTGGCAAGGAGGAGACATGAGGACTCCATTCCAGTAAGTCAGTGGCCCCCAGAGCACCTGATATGGGAAGAAAAATCAGAGAACCTTCATTGACTTTTAGTTTTCCTTTTGAAAACAACAAAGGAATTAAGCTTTACTAGTGTTTAGTAAATAAGGTGACCCTGTCACCCTCAGTGATTCACCCATTAAGCAGCCATCTCCTGGGGTGCTTGAGGTCTCCTGCAGCAAGAGCGGGGCCTCCCCACCCTGTAGAATGCTGCAAAGTCTTGGTCTGCTGTATCTTGTCAGAGTCTGCCCAGTGGCAGAGAATAGTATTCTGAGTGATGGCATCTGTGGGTACGTTGTAGTGGCTGGGCAGTGATTTTGTGCTACTCAGAGGAACTCTGGCACACTTGTTGGAATTAGTAATGAGAGGTATAATTTTCTTTTTCAAAGCCATCTATATTTTCTAAATGTGCTGACCTTCCCAGTGATGACAGGTACCTGTTACCACTGGCTTTTTAAAAATTTTTAATAAACATCTGTAATCTGCCCTTTTAAGGTAAAGGTGACTTTAAACAAGACAAATGGGAGTGAAACTGCTTTAGAAAGAGGATTATATGAAAGAAAGAGCATTAAAAATGGGCATTTTAGATGTTTCCACTATTCTGTGATTTATTGACTAAAATGCTGTCAGTGGGTTACTTATAAACACCCATCATTTGTGATTATACAAAGACTTGAAAAAAGAATTTTCTAATGTTTAAAAAATCTTCTAAACAAAGGATTCTGAGGCCAAGGAAATGGTTCAGCGTGCAAAGTACTTGTGTGTAGGTGTGTTCAGACTCCCAGCATCCATACCATGGAGATGGGAGATGGGAGGCTCCCTGGAACTAGCCAGCCAGGCCAGCCAATTGGAGAATTCCAGGTTCTGTGTGCATGTGTGTACACACACACACACACACACACACACACACACACACACACACACATACACACATTAAAAAAAGAACTACAGAGTACCCTGAATGTATCTGTTCAAACAACAAGAACATCATAGCTAATTTATTTGCAGACACAATGAATGGACAGACACAATGTAAAAATCTGTTTGGCAAATGCCCACATCATCCTTCATATAACTGGGAGATGGGCATGAAAATTGGGTTCACTATACTGAAAGCACAGCCAAAAACACACATCTCTTTTCAATCTCCAGGTCTCTGGGATTGCTTCATAGCCTGTCAATTCTCAAGAACCATGGACAAAACAAATACTTTCAACCTGACCTTCAGATGATTGTACCCAAAAGCGCTAGCCTAAGATTTTTCAAAAAATAATGAAGCGTTTCCACCCAGTGATTGCATAGCTTCCTGCTTTGAGTTAATGGCTGAAAAATTACATGTATAAAATACGTCTTGTAATTTTCAACTTTGTCTTTCCTCCCTTAAAGTTGTACACGTTTGCAAACCTTCCAAAATGAGCCACTACACGACACACTATCATATCAATTGTATGTATGATTTCTAAGTAAAATCAATTAAGCAGGTCTACTACGAGCTCGATGTCTCAAAAAAGGTTTTAATAGTGGGCTGTCTGCCAGGAAACTGGGAAACCTCTATAAACAAATGAGGATAGCGTAAGGAACATTACTTATGGAAGTGACCAGATGTTTTTGTCATAAGCAGGTGAGTCTTGGAGTGGGGTAGAACAAGACTAAAACCATAAGTGCCAAGGTGAAGCCTGCTTTGATAACTCTAGGGCCCTCTGAAAAGGTTGGAAGAAGCAGGAAAAAGATGGGTCAGTTTAGGATCACCCTTCCCTGTCTGTGATACCTGCTTAAGGCAAGTTGTATTCATCCTCAAGTCTCAGTTTCTGGCAGCCACTCCCTTGAGCCTTCCTGGACGTCTCTGAGTTAGCTCCGGTAACTGTCCTTTGTGCTCCATATGTCCCTGAGCTAGCTCTATAGACTCAACTTTTTCACAATGTAACTGTTTTTACATTGTTTTATGGTGATCTCTCTTTTTGTAGTCTTAAACACTTGGGGCAGTGAGATGGTTCACCTAGTAAAGGCACTTGCTGAGCAAGCCTGATGATCAGAATTCAATGCCTCAAACACATACAAAGATGGAAGTAGGGAAACTACAACATTGTCCCCTGACCCTCACATGTTTTCCATGACACACACATGCCCACATACACACATATCTCATACATATGAATAAATAAATCAATAGATAATGTTTAAAATATCTATTGTCTTGTTATTTAGTCTGGACTGGCCTGAAACTTGAGCTCCTCCTGCCTCAGTCTCTAAGGTGCTGGGGCTATAAGCATGTTGGCTCCGAGGTTATCTTTTTACTCATTGCTAGAGCATCAGAGAGTAGAAAGCTGTATCTGGCTTCTCTTGTATTTCTCACTAAAGGCAGTGAAATCTATCAGTATGTAGTTTCACTTGTCTTTTGAGACAATATCTCTTGTAGCCTGAATTTGCTGTGTTACTGAAGACAACCTTGAATTATGGTCCTGGTGATTACAGGTGTGTGTTACCATGCCTGACTTATTCAACTACAGAGATCAAACCTAGAACTTATTGCACAAGAGGTAGGCGCTCTGCTAATGGGGCCACATCCTAGTCCTCCTCAGTATGTCTTTAAATCTGTATATATTAATATATTTCATTTTTCACATAGTAACTGTACAAATTTGGGGTCACAGCATAGTGTTTCAATAATGTATAAGATGTGGAACAGTCGAATCAGAGTGTGTGATCTATCACTTCAGGCATTGTGCTGGCTAGTTTTATGTCAACTTGACCCTAGCTAACTGAGGAAATGTTTCAACCAGGTTGGCCTGTGGGGGCATTGTCTCAATTAGTGATTGATGTGGTAGGGTTCAACCCGTTGTGAGTGGTGCTATCCCTGCAGAGGTTGTCCTGGGGTGTGTATGAAAGAACGCTGAGCAAGTCAGGAGGAGCAAGCCAGTAAGCAGCATTACTCCATGGCCTCTGATTCATGCCCCCCAGGTTCCTGCCTTGAATTCCTGCCCTGACTTCTCTCAGTGATGGAGGGATGTGGAGGTATAAGGAGACAAACCCTTTTCTGCCCGAGTTACTGTTGTTTTTGATGTTGTAACACAGCAATAAAAACTCTGACTAAGGCAGACATGAGTTGCTTCCTTGTGTTAGAAAAACTCAAAAATCTTCTTTATTAGCTATTTCGAAATATTCAATTCATTGTTGTCAGCCGTAATTATCCCAACTGTGCTGTCTATCAGTATTCATGAATGGACAGTGTGGAATTTGATGAAACCAATTAAATACTGAGGATGTAAAGGGAGGGTGGAAAATTCTGAGACATTATAGTGGGCTTGTGGACACTGTCTTCTTGATGTTCTAAACATTTTTAATTGGATTTCAACCTTTGAGAAGCAGATGCTTTCATATTAAGGTCTGAATGTCCAGCTCCTTTTGAAAAAAAGAAAAACAAGCAACTCCAGGCCCATGCTCTTCTACGGCTGCTGCCCCAGTGCCCTGGTCATTTGTGCTCCTTCATTCATCGAGTTTCTTGCCTGTCACTGTCAGGCATTTTAGCTAATGGTGTGTGCTTCGTAGAGCTGTTGAGCATTTAAAAAGTGTTAATGAATATTTACGGGAGGAAAACACTAATGTGATATTTTAGCACTAGGAGAGAAAAACTTCAAGGAGAAACTCTTGATTCCTAAACATTTTATTATAGAGACAATCACTTGTGGCTTGGATAAGGTTGCTATCACCCTTCCAAGTACATGTTTTCCTTTTCATTTGGGGAACTCTCACAAAGCTCCAATGTTAACAG